GTTTTGAAATGAATTTCTTTAAAGATATACGGGAACTGTCTGCAATTTCCACTCAATTTTTCTGTGAATGTAAAACTGCTCAAAAAAGGGAAGTTGATTAATTTTTTTAAAGATGAGTGGTGGATAGGCTGATGGATGGGTAAATGAAAAGATAGATGGATAGACAGGTTCATTATGAACAAATAGAGCAAAATGCTCACTGTAGACTCTAAGTGTTGAGGATACGCATCTAGTGTCGAATTCTTTCCATTTGCTATGTGTTTTAAAATTTTCAAATGTTGGGGCACCTGGCTGGCTCAGTCAGTGGAACATGCCACTCTTGATCTTGGGGTCCTGAGTTTGAGCCCCATGTTGGGTGTAGAGTTTACTTAAAAATATTTTTTTTCAGGGTGCCTGGGTGGCTCAGTCAGTTAAGCGCCGGCCTTCAGCTCAGGTCAGGATCGCAGGGTCCGGGGATGGAGCCCCGCCTTGGGCTTCCTGCTCAGTGGGGAGTCTGCTGCTCCCTCTCCCTCTGCCCCTCCCCCTGCTTGTGCTCTGTCTCCCTCTCTCTCTCTCAAATAAATAAATCAAATCTTTTTTTTTTAAAGATTTATTTATTTATTTGAGAGAGCAAGAATGAGAGAGAGTACACGAGAGGGGGGAGGGTCAGAGGGAGAAGCAGGCTCCTCGCTGAGCAGGGAGCCCGATGCGGGACTCGATCCCGGGACTCCAGGATCATGACCTGAGCCGAAGGCAGTTGCTTTAACCAACTGAGCCACCCAGGCGCCCCAATAAATCAAATCTTTAAAAAGAAGTTTTTTTCCAAATGTTAAAAGGAAAAAGGGAAGTGACATTGTGCCAGAGACTCTCTTCTCATCGCATATGGAGTAGAAATCAGAGTCCTTTAGAGTCCCTATGGGATCTGGACTCCCGAGTTCTCCCTAATCCCCTCCGCCTCGCTCCCTCCTTGTCTCTCTGTCCTTCCAGTCCCAGTGGCCTCTGTGCTTCCCGAACACACCAGTCACATTCCCACCTAGAGCCTTTGCATCAGCTGTGCCCACCCCGGGACACATCCTCGTGCATGCATCCCCCTCCTAAGATGTTTTATATATAGGTTACCTGCTTACTATGGTTTCCTGTCGGCCTCCTGCCGGTAGAATAGAAACCCTCTGCGGGCAGGGATCTGTGTCCATTTCATTAACCAGAGGGTGAACGGCGCCTCCGACAGTGCCCAGCACATAGTGAGGCTCAGTAAATACTTGTGGAATCAGTGTTCTGAGTTTGTCTATCTGTGTCTCCTGCCAAAGTGTAACCTGGTCTATTTGTCCTCTGATGTTTTTCCCACATCCAGAATAGTGCTTTGCACATAGCCAACAGCTCGGTAGTTTTAGGAGGAAGGAAGCAAGGAAAGGAAGGAAGGAAGGAAGGAAGGAAGGAAGGAA